AACAGGAATCAGGAGGACAATGCTGTGCTGATTGCGGTCATACCTAACACAAAAGAACTTGGTTGTGGATGTTGGAGGTCTGCCATTTCAGCTCCAGGGCATCTCAGCCTCCACAAAGGGCTGTATAACGTGATGCTGGTCATTATAGTTTGCTCTTACCCCACTTTGGGGGTAATGTAAGACTGAGATGAGCAGGATTCCAAACACATGGAGCACCTACACTGTGCTACTATGTAATTGCCAAACAACTGGTAGATCAACTCTTCAAAATAAGTACTTATTTTAAAGTACTAGACTGAGTCAAATAGTCATCCTTGTTAGAATGCTGCATGTCTCATTTATAGAGGATGTGACTAATGAACATTGCTAAGAATCAGTTCTATTTCCTATGAAAATGGTGCAGGGAGATGAAAGCGAAGCAGATGTGCCAGCAAGCCCAGGAGCAACAGCAATTTGCCATGGAAGCCACAAAGCCTCATGCATATGAAGAGATTGCAGCTGCATGACTTGTCATGGTGCATCAGGCAGGGCTAAAGTCGATGGTCCTAAACTCATTTCCTCCAGATGAGGCTAAAACTGCAAAGAGTGCAGAAGAAATTTACAGGGATATTGCCAGATCTCAAGGGACTGAGTTATAGGGAGAGGTTGGACAAGCTAGGACTTTTTTCTGTAGAGCATGGGAGACCGAAGGGGAATCTTATAGAAGTGTGTAAGATCATGAGAGGCATGGATAGGGTGAATGCACTCAGTCTTTTTCCCAGGGTTGGAGAATCGAAGACTAGAGGGCATCAGTTTAAGGTAAGAAGGGAAAGAATACATGTGAACCTCAAGCGCAACGTTTTTACACAAAGGGTGGTACATGTATGGAATGAGCTGCCAGTAGGAGTGGTTGAAGTGGGTACATTAACAACATTTAAAAGGCATTTGGACGAATACATGGATGGGAAAGTTTGGAAGGATATGGGCCAAGTGTGGGTTAGTGTGGATAGACATTTTGGTCAGCATGGGCCAAAAGGCCTGTCTTCATGCTGTAGGACTCTATGACGCTATGTCCCAAGACATTGTGAACTGTGTCAGCTGCTGGAGGCTGCAACCTGAAGATATGGGTAGCCATCCTATCCTGGTAGTTGTCAAGGTGACAACTGGATTGAAATTTTATGCCACTGGCTTTTCTAAAGAGCCACTGGAACCTATGTGGAATCTCACTTGTTCACCCATAAATGTATCAGACTTGTGACAGGTGACATTTGTGCAGGAACACATCTGTTCATTTCACTCCCCATGCCAAGTTCAGTGCTGCAGCTTGGGAAATAGGATTGGCATTAGCTTTCGCCTGGTGTAGAGCGCTGTCAACTGCACACGTATTGCATTGAGAGGGCTTTATCATAATGAAGTGGAATTCATCAGTAGAGAAGGGTTCCATTCCGTCAATGTGCAAGTGATTTTATAAACAAAGTAAGGTAACCCCTCAACCTATGCTCCAGTGAAAAAAGTCCCAGCTGCTGCCCATAACCCAAACCTCCCATTCCCAGCATAATTCTGGTAAATCTCTTCTGTTTAAAGAATCAGATGTCATCCAGAGATTAGACGATTTTTGTTTGGAAGCAGGGTCCTGAATATCAATAGCGGCAAATAGATTAGTGTTAAGCAGCAGGGTGAATAGCTTGTTCCTGCTTCTGATTCTGTGTTCATCTGTGTTTATGTGAACCACTCTGATCCACGTCAGGCTCCACAACTATTAACCTTCCCTGCAAACTGACCAAAGAAAAATTGAGGTATGTAAATACCAGGGCAGTAGTAGCAGACAGGTCGAGTGGCATGGGGACATAGATAGCGTGTAGGTAGGATAGGATGTAGAGTTTCCTAGTAAGTTTGAATTGGTTGCAGCTAGGCAGAGATCATGTCTGTGGCACAATGGCAAACAGCGACTATGATGAGAGAACACGATTGTATTTGTGAGTGAGTGTCAGCCATGAACCATGGGCTGCTGTGTCATGACTTAGCCAGTGAGTGGCACTGTGGGAATGTCAATGCTTGTCCAAGTGCACAGTGGCCTTTCAAAGATGTCCTGGATGCAAAGGATGCTGGTGTTTTAGTGCATATCCACTGAGTGGCAAGTTGTTCTGGGAATGGCATGTGATAAGATGGGGCAGAAATTGGACATAGGCAAATTGGTATTGGTAGGAAAATAATGAGGCAGGTTTGGTAAGATAAAACCTTTGACAAACTAGACATAACTTGAATTTAACCAAAAAGAACAGAAGATTCTGTGATAGTAGGAACTGCAGATGCTGGAGAATCCGAGACAACAAGGTGCAAGGCTGGATGAACACAGCAGGCCAAGCAGCGTCATAGGAGCAGAGAGGCTGACGTTTCGGGCCTAGACCTTTCTGATGAAGGGTCTAGGCCCGACACGTCAGCCTCTCTGCTCCTATGAGGCTGCTTGGCCTGCTGTGTTCATCCAGCCTTGCACCTTGTTTTCTCGAAGATTCTTGCCTGTGATTGCGTGTGTAGAGGTG